CTGGGACTGCAAAGCGGGCACCTCCATGCCCAGCACATGCCTCTTCTTTAGACTTTGGAGGGGGGAAAAAAGATTATTATCTGTTGATTGATGTTATATCAAATTTGTCAGTCAAACTGGACCACTAGTTTTTAGCAGTGTCTTGAAAAGGCGATCATAGCAATAGTTTTCCTAGGTTGATAGTTTGTCTAGGCTTCCAAATACATTGAAATAAACTATATTATAATTCTCCAGTGGTTTTGCAGCCTCTGACTAGGTCCTTTCTCTGTTCTACATGCTGATTTATATTTTCATTTTATCCTTTTCCTCTCAATTCTACTAAAGCTAATTTCTGATCTGACTCTGAAGTGCTCATTTTGGTTTATTGGTTGACTGCTGTTGCTTAGATCATTTATGCACTTTCTATATTATTTCCATTTGTGTTGTTTCTCCAGCTTGCTCATTGCATTTTTACTACACTTTAATAAATGTATGTGTGACTTTAAAACATGCTTTAGCTATAGCCCATACCTTTTGACATACAACACTTAATACTTGGATCTAAGTATTTTGTATTAGCTTGGTTTCCTCTTTAACATGTAGCTTTTTCTAAGCACTTTCTCAGAACTGCTTTATCTTGAATTGATGACATCTGCTTTCACTGTCTTTAAGTCAGAAATGTGGTAAAACTTTGATCCTTAGAAATTTATACATAACTCTTTCATGAAGAACTTTGTAAGTATTCCATGTGAATTCAAAAATAATCTGTACATTCTGTTTGTTGGAGGCAGAATTCTGTAGCATCCTATTAGGTCATCTTGTTAATTTAGTTATATATATATTCTCTGATTTCTGCTCTACTGTGCACTTAATACCTTGCTTTTCTAAAAGAGGAATCTAAAAATATCTCATCATGCCTGAGGTCTTGTCTGTTTTTCTAGGTAGTTCCGTACATTTTTGTCTTATTTAAGAATATATCAAATTCGCCAAATTAATAATTTTTATTGGAGAATCATTGTGTGCACTGTCGCACTGTGACTCTTGCAGTTCTTTGATGTTTTAAATGATATTGTCTCATGTAGCTAATAAATGCATTGCAGGGGCTGAAATGTATAATCAGGTAAGAATGCTTACCACACGATCATGAAGACATGTGTTCAAATCCTTAGAACCCAAATTAAAAAGCTGTGCATGGTCACATGCACTTATAAGCCTAGAGGAAGAACACAGGAGGATTGCTGGGGTTGACCAGCTACCAGTTGAGCTCCAGGTTCAGTGAGAGATCCTGTCTCAAGGTGGAGAGTGATGGAATAGGACAAATGCCATCACCCGCTGGCCTCCATGAACTGGCACACACACACATACACACACACACACACACACACACACACACACACACACACACACACACACAATATAACAACACATGCACATACAAAAATGTATCTGCACTGTGTCTTTTCAATATTTTTACAATTTATTGTATTGTATTTTCTAAATTTACATTTGAATTTTTCTCTTATCTCTAACACTTATGGCATGTATGTATGTATGTATGTATGTGCATGTGTTCATATGTAGGTGCATATGGCTGTGCATGTGTATGTGGATTCCAGAAGACAATCTCAGGTGTTTTCCTCAGTGTCTTTAAATAGCTTAGAAGTCGGCAAGTAGGCTAGGCGGACTGGATAGGGCGCTCAGATCCCCTTGTCCCTACTTCCTCAGCGCTGCCATTACAAGAATGCACCCCCATGCCCAGTGTCTCACATGAGTTGTTTGCATCCAACTCTTGCCCTCAGGCTCATAAGGCAAGTACTCCACCAATGAGCTGTCTTCCCAGCCCTCAGGACTACTTTCCAATAGGTGAATGTTATGTTTAGAAGTGCGATTTTTTTTATAGACGTGTGGAGATGAAAGTTTCTCAGTCCTGCCAGGCCCCACAGTTGGGACAAATCTCTCCCACCTGCGGTCCTACAGCTGCTTATAAAATAATTACACAGAGGCTTATATTAATTTCAAACTATGTGGACTATGGCTCCGGCTTCTATTAACTAGCTCTTTCAACTTAATTCAACCCATTCCTATTAGTCTGCGACTTGCCACGTGGCTTCGTGGATTAGCGGTGCCTTCACATCTTGCTTCTTGGGTGGCTGGATCACGTCTCCCTCTCATTCTGCCTTTCTTCTCTCTCTCTCTCTCTCTCTCTCTCTCTCTCTCTCTCTCTCTCTCTCTCTTGGATTTCCCACCTGACTGTAAGCTTTCTTGCCATAGGCCAAAACAGCTTTATTTATTAGCCAATGGGAGCAACACGTATTCACAGCATACAGAAAGACATCCCACAGCAGACATGTATATGCTTCTATCATCTTACTTTTATATTTCCTGAAATTTATATTACTTCCTAGTGTGCTTTTCACTATTTCCTTTGAATTGACAACATTTTCTGCTTTTTAAAACTTGAGGTACTCTTTATTTTCTTTAAATAAATACATTGGCATATGTGTATATTTTAATATATGTGCCTGCTGAAAGTGCCATTGCTTCAAAACCTGGTTTAGAGTTTAGTGATGGCAGATTCTATGTTCATTTTTTAACTCATTGGTGGGAGTTTAACAAGATGTGAAATCCTAAGTTGGCAATGTATTAGTTTCCTCTTGTTGCTGTGACAAAATACACCCCCCAAAAAAAGATGCAAACTTAAGGGCCAAAGGGTTTATTTGGCTCACAGTTTGGGCATACAGTTCACCTCAGTAAGGAAGTCAGGGAAGCCGGGGCTGACGGGAGCTGAAGGAGAGAGGAGTGCTAGCAGTGTTTGGCTCACTTCCGCTTGACTCGGTCCATGCGATGGTATCAAGCTCACTTCCGCTTGACTCGGTCCACACAATGGTATCAGCTCACTTCCGCTTTACTCGGTCCACACAGCTCACTTCTGCTTGACTCAGTCCATGCGATGGTATCACTGTGGGTAACGGGGAGGGAGGGTGACACACCTCAGTTCACCGAATCTCCATTCGGTCTCAGGTGTGCTTGGAGGCATATCTCCTAGGAAACTCTAGACTCTTTCGTGTTGACAAGCGATATTAGCCATCGCAGGCAGCTATTTTCCCTCCATACTTTGCCATTTTATCAGTGCCTTTGAGCCACTACACAGGGTTCTGGGAAGTTAGGTGGCAATTTGTCAATAGTTTGTGGGCTTTCTCCACTTCTTTATGGTTTACTCATTATTCTCTGTGTTTATTACCTCTACAATCTATTCAGCTCTGTATTAGTTGCTGTCAGTATAGAGAATGGGGTTGAGATGAAATGATGTATGTGTTTGTTTACTTATAGAAAATTCTCAGCTGTTTTTCAAATATTGCTTTTTCAACATGCAACATTCTCTAAGTTATTTTACCCTGAAACATCTCTCAATCTATTCTCCAGTCTCCAAATCCACATGATTTTTATGTTTCACTATTGTAAACATAGGTGTATGCTTCAATACTGTTTTCCAGTTTACTAATTCTCTCTTCAGCTGTACCAATTTAAACCATGTTTCAGTCCCTAACTTTACTTTCATATTTCCAAGACATTTGATTTTCAATTGGCTTTTTGTTGTAGCTATTCTTTCATATGCTGTCGTGTCATATTTTGGACATAATTTTGTTTTTGTTTTTAATGGACAATATCAATTATCTCATTGAACATAAATACACATTTTAAGTCATTTTCAGGCTATTTCATTACCTTGAATTTATCTGCAGTGAATATAGTTCTGACAACTATTATCTTACTATTGTTTATTTGTTTTGTATTATAAACCAGTGTTTATTTTGAAATTTTGGTTTGTAGTTATAAATGTCTCTCTCCACCTATCCCTCTCTAGCCTCCCTTCTGCTTTCTCTATCTTCCTCTCTCTCCATAGTAACCTCATTTTAACTTGATCATCTACAATGATTCTATCTCCAATAGGGTCACATGGAGGCACTGGAGTGCTATAATTTAGATTTTGAAAGTCCCCCAAAGTCCAGTGTTAAAGGCCTATTATGTATTGAGAAGTGAGACTAGACTTAGTGGGAGGTTTAGCTTTATTGGTGACATGTCCTTAGGGGACATTGTGGACCCCTGGCCTCCAGCATTCTTAATCCACTCTGACTAGAAGGAGGGCCGCTTTGCTCCACTAGACATACCTTTTCCTGACACTGCCATGTCTTCAAAGAGTAGGGTCAATGGATGGTGGGGTGACTCTGAAACCACATTACAGAATAAGCTTACCTTCCTCCTTGGTGAGCTTCCTCGGGTATTGTGTAGTAGGTAACATATAGTGTTGTAAGAAAAAACTTACAAACACAAGAGGTTTCACTACAGCATTAAGCTTTACCCCAAAACAATTCTATATATTCAAATTAGTTTTCCTTACATTGTAGACCAAGGACACGTCATTTGATTTAAGCTTTATTTATACAGTCTGTCCTAAGGATGTTGATAGTCATAGTCATTGTTGTCTTCTGCATACAGAGAGAGAGAGAGAGAGAGAGAGAGAGAGAGAGAGAGAGAGAGAGAGAACACACACAATATACACACAGGAACACACACACAAACACACTCACAGACAAACACAACCCGAGCCTGTTCACAATAAGTCTATTGCAGTTTTAAAGGACTTTGTACCCATTCTGTCTGAAACATGATTCCTATTTCAAAAAGAGCATGTGTATGGATTGAATTATGCCCAATCCTACCCCTCCACCAATACAAAACAACAACAAAACCCAATAAAACTCCAAACTTGTTTCTTGTGAATTATATCTTCTTAGCTATAATAGGGTCTTCTACGTATACTCAAGCTGAGATGAAGTTATTAGCTGGGCAGCAGTGAAATCGGTACTTTTCTGCTTTTTCTAAAAGCTGCTGACCTCTCATTTGGGTCCACAGGCAACTAAAACAGATTGAAAGCATAACACATCTTCCTTTATTTGTGTCTGTCTTACTTTAGCTGAAGGCACAGAGTTAAGTCACTGCCCTTAACTTTCCCTCTTGAGTGACCTTTGGATCTAGGTACAGCGACGTTTCACGGAACAGAAAAAGCCCTGAAACCAATGACAATGATCAGCAGTGAGGGCAAGGTTGCATCTTGGAGCAGAAGTAATCATCTAAGAACCTCTGCCTTATCCCTTCAAGCAATAATGACTTCTTTGGACCACACTGAAGTACTAGAACTAAGACAGCATTCAAGGAGACTGCACCTTTTTCGAGACTGCTTAATCATGTATACTTCTTGCCCCTTGGCACACATTTTCCTCCATTTAAACTTAAAGGTTGTGTCTATAACCTGAAGATAAACTTGTGGTCAATCGACCCCTTTACTTGTTCTTCCCAGTGTGGCCATATTGAATAAATCTCCTTCCTCTGTTTTTCCCAATTACCTGTCTCTTCAATTGGTATATAGGAGACAGCTGATAGAACCCAGCTTGTTGATGCTTCCAGACTCTGGCTTTTACCCTAAAATCTCTGGTTATACCAAATCAGTATATCTGGTGTCAGTATTAGAGAAAAACACTGTATAAACACTCAGCACTCCCAGGGAAAGCACTGAGTTATGACAAATTGGGCTGAGGGAGAGAAGAGCAAGAAAAGAGAGGGTGGAGAAAGGGAAGAAAGAAAGGAAGGGGCAGGGAGATAAAAGGAAATCAGAAGAGGGAGATTGGCATGAATCAACTGCAAGTAAGAAATGCATGGTTGGTAGCCATCATCAGCAGTAGTAGAGAGGCAAAGAGGGCATGCACCCCGTCTCAAAGGAAGCATGGCTTTCTGACATCAGATGCTTGGGTTTTAGACTTACAGCCTATAGAACTATGAAATAATACATTTCTATTAAGCCAACCAACTTGGGAAATATGGGGGTCTTCATAAGTATCCTTCACAGGTTCATGTATTGAGTATTTTGTACCCCATCTGGTGGCAGCTAGCGGAGGTTATAGAGCCTTTGGAAGGAGAAGCTCTATTGGAGAATGTACATCACAGGGGGCTGGGATAGGTCTTGAGGGTTTGTAGCCTCACCCTTTCCTTCTTGTGTTCCATCCCTCCCTCTCCTTCCTGTGTGCGGATAAAACTTTGATCAGCCAGCTATCTGTTCAGGCCTTCCCCGCCATGATGGACTCCATTCCTCTGGACTCATGAAACAAAATAAACTCTTCCTTAAGTTGCTCCTCTTAGAATATTTTATTGCAACAGAAAGGTGACTAAGACAGAAAATGGAACCAGGAAAGTAAAGTTACTGTGCAGAATCTGACATGCTAGTTTTAAGAGGAATGAGGAAGACTTTAGAAACAAAGACTTGATAATGTTGGACCAGAAAACCATTGAATGTTGTGAGCTGAGCTTTCCTGGTCATTCTAGTAGGAGCCTGGAAGACTGTAATGCTGAGAGCTATGTGAACAGTGGAATTGTAGGGAAAGGGGGCTGGCTAAAGAAACCCACCCTGACCCTGGAGCCCAGAACTAGGGAAAGATGGCTCAGATCAGGGCAGGAAAAAAAAAAAAAAAAAAAAACAGTTTGGCTCAGTCAGATCAGAGCCATCTCTGCCCCTGGTCAATGGACTTGTGAAACCAACCAATCACAGTGAAGGACAGTAAAACCCTGGGCCCCAAGTCCACCCCTGGTTGCCTCCACCCCCAAGACATCCTATGTAAACTGTCCTGCCAGTTCAGTTTTTAAAAAGGCTGTTCTCTCCACCCTGGTAGAGGGAGCTACTCCTTCCCAAATAAATCTCTTTCTCAAAAGAGTTTTGGGTGTGAAGATCCTTGCTGAGACATCCCTCAGTAAACAAAACAAGGGAGAGCTGAAAGAGCAGAGCAAGGAGGAGCTGAACAGAAGAAGATATTTGCTGAGAAGACTCTCAGTGGACAGAGCAAGAGAGAACTGAAAAAGGAACACTTTTCTCCGGAGCCTGAGGAGATTGCTACATTTCTGCAGGGGTTTTCCCTTTTGCAGAGTGAAGCAAAAGAAGCAACATCTTAGGCTGGAGAAGCAGAGCTCTGCTAGGAAGCCCCCTTAAGTGAGGGCTGAGCAAAGCTCAGCTGTAGTGGCTCTCCAGGAAAGGAGCAGAATTGCTATATCCTGCAGGGAGACCATCCCCCATCACACCAGGTATACCCTGACTTCCCTGAACAGTCAGGATAACCTTCCCTACTGAAGCAATTCCAGGCCTGACTTTCCCAAGAAGTCAGAAAAATTTCCTTTCCAGGTTTGGGCTGCTTCTTTGCAGTTTCAGCCATCAAAGCTGTGCTAAACAGCTCCAGGAGTCCAGGATACTTTCGGGGCAGAGCTGTTGTTCTGAGCAGCTCGAGGTATCCAGGACACCTCACCTTCCAGGGCTGAACTGTCTCCTTGCAGTTCAGCCATCAGAGCTGTCCTAAGCAGCTCAAGGTGTTAACTGACTCCCCAGGTAGTCAGGACACCTTTGCCCAGAGTTGCAAAGCTCACATTTTGGTGCAGAAATCTGGGACCAAACGTACAGAGATGCAACAAATTCACTTGCAGGAATCTCAGATAATGAGGTTTCAGACGGGCAGAAGAACTCTATTGGCAACTGAGATAGAGGCCATTCATGTGATATTTTGGCAAAGAATCTGGCTATTTCCTGCCCATGCCCTGAAAAGTTACCTGAAGATAAATTTAAAAACAATGAACTAATTTATCTTGTGGAAGAAATTTTACAACTGCATAGCATTGAGTCTGTGATGTGGTTATTACTGATTACCTTACGCAGACATACAATGAAAAAGAACATTAAACAGGGCAAAAATAAATGAAAACTGCAGTGTGGAGAAGAAAAGAACATTAGGAAGCATTGCAATCACAGTTGTGTGTTATGGTTATGGAATATTTGTTTAAATATACAAAGATGTGTTGATTTGTTTGTGTAAAGATATGTTGCATTTGTTTAACTATGTAAAGATGTGTTGCATTTGTTTAATTGTATAAAGATATGTTGCTCTTTTACCTTGCCTGCCTATGACACCCGAATGATCTAATAAAAAACTGAATGGCCAATAACAAGGGAGGAGGTATAGGCCAGACTTTGGGGCAGGGAGAGTAAGTAGGAGGAGGAAAGAGAGGAGAGAGAGAGAGAGAGAGAGAGAGAGAGAGAGAGAGAGAGAGAGAGAGAGA